CAGTCGTCTCGGCGGATGATTAAGCGTATTGGAACTGAAGAGAGTTGGACACTATATTTAATTCAGAAATCCTGCATCCACACGTCGGCGGATGCATGTCAAACATATGCAGGATAAGGAGCTTAAAAGATAAATTATGCATGTTTACATTAGCAGCATGTGACGCTCTTTAGAAAGATCAAGAATTTGCCACCCACGAGTAATTTTGACTCAAATCAGATTCAAGTGTAGATTTATAAATATTTATAAAGCATCACTATCTATAAATTTTATGTGTTGCCTAACTATGCATTATTAATGTAATGATAATAATAATAATTTTATTATTATTATTAAATAATATTGTACTATTATCGAACAACAATAAATGAAAAATAAATAAATTTTTCATCAAGTTTAGTTATGTTACATATTGTTTGGTATACATTTAAAGTTAACCTGTTATCTGTTTTTGACATAATATTATGCACTTATGCGGCCGTAATATTACGAAGCGCTATATGTATATACTATTATGTATAAATAAAAATATATAATATATATAATATATATAATAATATAATACATTTTACATATATGTATATATACATATATATTTTAATTTCATTTTATTCAACAGTCACATCATTATAAATTTCCAATTATATAAAGTTATATAAAGTTGCATATACACATAACAAGATAGTATGCCGTGAACTATAAACTTTTATTGAACTATAAACTTTTATTTTGAGAAACAAAATTATATTCCTTTTATAATATAACGTTATATTCAAAACCATATAATTATAGACTTTTTACATTAAATACAATTTAACATAACTTTTTTGTTATAAGTAAATAACTTATTTTTCTATTCTTATAACTTTTTATTCAAAAAAAGCTTCAAAAACAAGTTATAAAATAACGAGTAAACAAATGCTCAACATTAGAAATTTTTAGTTAAAATTCTACAAAAAGAAATGATACATAAGTATCTTATAACATAACTTGTCGTTGTTCATCACTGAAATGCGGACTTATTTAATATAAGATATGTATATTTGAAATTGTTAATAAATAAAAATAATTTAGATTTATGTATATTACTTGATGTGTACACAGCCTAAGCGCATGCGCGCTCACGTCTCTTTTTGTTATGTTTATGAATACATGGCAGGTGAGAAAGCGAGAGAGAATGGCTCAGGTGAGAGAGGGTGGGGGAGCGAATCGAGTTGTCCAACCAGCGAGATGGTAGCCGTGGACTGCCCACCGCGGCCTATTGGCCGGGTTCACGAGCAAGCTATCGTATTATCGCCGACCACCGACCGATCTATCGCGCGCGTTCTCGAATCTACCTGCCTGCGAGACGTGCACCTGCGATCAATCGCGCGCGACTATCCGTCGCTCAATCGCGCCGTTTCGTCTCCGCGAGCGGCGCCTGAAAGCGCAGGTACTTATTAATGCGAAACGTTCGACCGAACAACCGCTAGTATGAAAATCAGAACGGTCTATAACATAATTGGTAATCATTGTAATCCTCTACGGTGATTTCACAGAAATTCGATAAAAGTTCAAATGCAAATCCATGTGTTGTAGAAGCAGAGAAAAAAATCGCGTAAAACTATAATGATCAACTGTGTACAACCGTTAAAACGAGATACGTCTCGAAACAACATGATGGAAAAATCATTGCAAGAAGAAATTTACAGGAAATTGTTTTCATAGTCTGTTCTTTTTACTAAAATGTTAGTTTTAGAAGGCAACACTATCTGTTAGCGTTAACTACTAGATATTGTGGATGAGCAACTAACAAGTGCTACCTCAAAACAGACGCGGACTTATCTGTTGGCTGTCTCATCCGTATATGCACGTCTATACGTTTTGATATTTCTGAAATAATTACTATTGTGCATTGGCAAAAGGCCTTCCCGCGTCTTCCTTCATTTATCAAAGCAAATATGACGTATGCGTTTGATAAATGTAAAGGAATGTTAAAATATTGCCTATTATATTATATTAAATCTATACTGTTTTTATAAAAAAAAATGTTAGTACCTGTCACTCCTTGTTTCTAATTTCTTCAATTGTAATTCTATCTGTGTGTATACTTTTAAAATTTTATTCCAAAGTGTTACATATATTCTTTGTTGTGTTGTACAAAGACAGAAAAAGATAAAAACACAGAATTATCTGACAGTTTTGCAAATGAGAGCAAAATTGTTTCTTCTCCCATTGTCTTTCCCATCAAGAAAAACTTGGTATATACACCCAACATGTAGCTCTTCGAGGAAATGCAAGAGTTCGTAAGACGTGCGATTGGAACGAAAGTTGCGTAGGAGCGTAGAAACGTGGAACAAAATTCGTGTCTCTCTCCGGTACTCGGCTGAGGATCACGAGATCGAAACGACAGAGGGAAAAAGAAACACAGGCGACGACTGCCGAAGGACGAAGAGAGGGCGAGCGCAAGAGGGCGAGGATGGGAAGAGCAAAGAGGGTTCCTGCCGACTTACAAATTATACGCGCTCAACGAGATTTACGGGTGACGCATTGAGCGAGACCATTGTCCATCCTCGCTCACTTCTTTACCTCTTTACTCTTCCACACGATCGTCTTTGTCCTCTCGTGAATCGCCAGTTCTCCTCCAACTCCTTCGCGAGTTTCTTCGTTCCCAGAGGAGCGCGTGAGAAAGACAGAAGGACGCGGAGAAGCGCAAGCAGACGAGAACGAAAAGGAGATGGAGCAGTGTTCGTCGTGAAAAAACCGAGGAATGCCGATCGACGAAAGAGAATCCGGTTCCAATCGGATAATCGGGTCCTCTCGCGGATCCTCTACTAGGACTCGCGAGAAAGGCGTAATGCGCGACTCGCGATGACGAACGATCGTATAAGCGACTGATTTATGAACCGCGTGATATTTTCGGAACAGAAATGACATTCCGTCATGATTAAGATGACGTCTCGCCATCTCGACGGGAAAACGTATTTTTGTGGATCTCCACTATCTAATTTTGTATATACATAACATTTCTTTATTCTGTAAAAACTTTTCGATCTTTAAATATATTATGCACACTGACATCCCAATTAATATTTCAATATGCTTTTATTCAAGATATGATATAATAAAGAAATAGAAAAAATCATAAATATATTGGCGCATACATACGGCTCTGTATACATCTATCGAAGCGAACAGCATGTGTCTTTAATGCGATAGTATTGTAGTAGACTAACTTACGTGACAGGTGATAAACAAAACATGTGTATGTGCATTCGTGCGTTTGTCGTGCGTGCGCGCGCGCGCGTGTGTGTTTGTGTATGCAGAAAGAAAGAGCCAAGAGTTTCCAACCTGACTTTAAATACCTGTTATCTAAATCGCGCGCGCACACGTAATTCTCTTAATATATTTATCAAACACTCTGTGAGAACGACGATTACAACAGGTAAGAGTAAAAACACCAATAAGATGACGACTCCTCAACGTTCTCTCTGGGGCTGAGGAATCTATCTTAAATCGAAAACAAATATTTAACCGTTCTTGAGAAGCATTTCTTTTCGCTCCTATAAGAGCAGTTTTCTCACTATCAACAGTAAATACATTAGATATACAAAGAAAATGGACACTAACCACAATGCGTGATTTATTTATTAAATAGAATTTATCTAATGCTCACCGTTAATAAATTAATCGTGCTACTTAATTGTACGATACAGTAAAAATAGTAATAATAATCATTTATAGTATTAATAATAATAGTATTATAATTGCAATAACAGAAGTTAAACACGCGGACATCTTTGCGTAATAAAATAATGAAACACATTAGTTGTGAGGTACGCAAAGTTCACGCTAAGCTCGTTAGATATGTGGTCCGGATGCTGTAATTCCAAGTGACACAGGCACGATAACGTTTTATCACCGTGTAAATATTTGCATAACAAAGTAGAGAATATAAAAAATGTCGCCGTTATCTAGTAATTTATTATTCTTTGTCAAGATAAATTGAAATTCAGTCATAGCCACCGAAATTAACATGTAATTTCGCGCTTTACTGATTGTTAGTTGATACATTCAGCATTTTCTAGAGTATCATTTGTCAACTGCGACTAAGTCACAGCAGGCATAAGCAAAACTAAAATAGCTAAATAAATAAATAGGCATATTTGCTTAGAGTTAAAAAATGAAGAAATATTTAAACAACGCGTATATTATATTACTTCAAAATATCTGATAAGTACTTTATAAAGAGCAAAATAAAGAGCTATAGAATCTGTTTATAAGAGCATAAATGACTATCAAAAAAAGATTGAGTGCTCGTTACTCATCTTACGTACGCACAACGCGTACGTAATTGATAACCCAGATGACGCGTTTCAAAATTGGGACACTCGTCAGTTCTTCACGTTCATTATTAGTGTTGAGCTATCATAAAGTCTTCTACGGTCCTACACAATATTCATTGTAACGCTTATGTGTTGAGCTAAATATAACAGTCGAACGGACAATATTGATATTAAATATAACAACTCTCTCTCTCTCTCTCTCTCTCTCTGTGTGTGTGTGTGTGTGTAACACTCTGCTGCTATGTAACAGATTGTCATCAGATTGTCGTAGCTAATAAACAAATGTTTGATTAAGAATTTAACACAAACAAATAACTATCATGAAAAAAACGAAGTATAAGTAAATACTGAGATATCTCAACAAAATTTTGTAAAATATATTAAATACATATGATTTGCATTGCAATATATGTCACGCAAAGAATTTTTTTTATTCCTTATTTTTTAGTGCAAAAGAAAATGGTTTACCATGTCGTAACACTTATGTTTGTTTTAACTTTTGCTTTTAGTCGTCACTTATTTTATCTTCACTTATTCCATTCCACTATTGAGCTTAATTTTAACTTAACATATGTAGATTTGTAAAAATGCAGCAAACATATTATGCGTTGACAGTAGAAGAAGAATGGAAGAACATTATATATGTATGAACATTGAACGAGATATGGTACTCACCAAAAAGAACCGGTGATAGGAGTGACAAGGAAGAGGCAGGTCGCCACGAGAACGGGGCGCATCTCCATCCCCTCTGCACACTCGAAGATTACCGATCGTGTCTGCTTCTTCTTTGCTTCTGCTTTGTACACTGGTAATCGATGGAATCACACGGAATCACGACAAAATATCACCTTCTTCAAACTGACAACAAAGTCAAGTAGTTCATTGGTGTCTCTCTCTTTCTTTTTCTCCTCGATTTTTAATGCACCTTGTGATACCGACTATTAGCACGCAATTGACTCACTGTCTCCTCTGCACGATTTCTTTATCAGCTCGTCTAAAAGCAAAACTCAACACCGCAACGTACATTGCTCGCAGAACGCTATAGATCTTCTTCAGACTCGTTGATTCTCTGATGTTTCTGCAGTTCTGTGATTAAACATTAAATTTTTGTTAGAATCGATGTTGGTGCAAGAACACGACTGCTTATGAAGAGATCCACTTCTACAAAGTACTTTTCTTAATCGTCGCTTTTACTTATCAAAAAATTATTCGTAGCATTACGTTTCTTGATATATCTTGCGAAGCAAAGGCATCTTCGGAATTACATAGTTGTAATGATCGCGATGCACGCTCGGTCTTTATGATTGTATCGCACTGAAGATATTCGAAGACTATCGGAGATAGTCGCCTTGTCAAAAAAGAACATTTTTAAGATCGCGAAAAAAAAGATTCGCGATTAAAAATCCGGAAGAGGAACGCTAACTTCTCCAGTCCTTGGGACTATTACCTCTAGGATTATTTACCTCTTTTTTCTTCTCCCACCTTTTCTTCACCCTCTCTCTCTCTCTCTCTCCCTCTATCTCTCTCTCTCTCTCGCTGATTCCTTCTTTCTCTCAGCCTTTCCGAAATATTCTTCTTTTTATTTCTTTTTCTATACTTTCGTCTTGCTCTTTTCTCTTTCTCTCACCCAAAAGCACCAATTATATGTGACACAAATAAGGAATATAGAAAAGTGCTCCTTTCTTGTTATGTAGACAAAAACGCGTTGCGTTCCTACCAGAACTACGTCACCACAATCTTTGAGTGTTGCTTTACCCCCACCAACAGAGTTGTGAGAGTAAAGAAGAATTGCCCCCACCAGCATATGTTTTCTTCTTCCTCTTCTTCTTCCTCTTCTTTAGCGGCACCAGCACCATCACTATCACCGTCACCACCACGACCGTCGTCGCGAAACCACCGCCACTGTCACCGGTGACGGATTCATCTTTAATTTCGTCGTCGCAAAAGACGCGATCTCTAGGAAAGAGGCCATCCCTTTGAAGATGTTTTTTCAATCTTATGTTTCTTTCTCAAGCAGAAGCAGATCGGTTGAAGAATAGTAAGTTTAAAAATGTCACCGTGCAAAGGTGTAAGCAAAAGCGGAAGACGAGAGAGAGAGAGAGAGAGAGTAAACGGAAGAACAAAAATGACGGAGGGGGAAAGAAAGGTGAAAAACCTATGAGTCGGTGAAGGTAGGAAAATCCAGATGGTAGGGGAGATTGCGAGATTGGCCGTCTGCGATCACTTGCGAGGCGAGGCTCCTGGTCTGAACGAACTGTATGAGACTGTTGCGGACTAGGCAGGTGAGCGCCGCTCGGCGGCAACGAGACGCAACCGAGCCCCTCTTTTCCTCTTTTAACTCGCCTACGAAACTCGTCGGCACAAGGAGCCGTCTCGTCGGTCGGTTCCTCTCTACTTGGGTCATGCCGCACTAGGATCCCACGAAGAGAGGCACGATCATGTCTTGCCGATTCTTTCGGATTTCGACGTGCCACGATGCTCGGTATAAGATGATAAATCACAAAAAGATCATTTACAGAACGTGAGAAAGAGATGAGATGAGATGAGATCGTATAAATACAATACATATATCTGGTATGTAAATATTTTTATGTAGTCAAGTATATTACCATATCTCTTGTATTAAAAACAAGTTTGCTCATATATTTGCAATAAATATTTTTTGTAATATTTTATACTCTCCTCTCAACTTATACTCCGTAACTTACACAACTTATAAGTAACTTAAAAAAAAAAAATACTAATAATAATATTATTATGCTTTTATCGTCTTTTTCGTAAAGATAATTAATCATAACAAACCAGCAAAATAGAATTGGAACAAAAACCTGTGCAATCGTAAATTACCGTCTAAAAAATGGAAAACTCTCATTGAGAGATTATCCAGGGATCGATTCAACGCTTGTTCATATCTTTTTTCCTTTTTTTTCTTTTTTTTTTTTTTTTTGGATTACCCTTCTTTATTCTCTCATCCTCGTAATAAGAAGTTCGCTGCATCTTGTCAAGTAAATCTCGCCCAACGTGTCGCTGTCTCTTTCTTTTCTTCGCTCATTCACGTCAATAGGTGCACGACAAAGAGAACTCTTTTACCGGATGATAAGTTTTCAGGTTGAGAAGCGCCACTGAGAAAAGCAGATATCGATGACACTGACATTTTCTACGCCATCGTCCGTCTTCACGAGACATACGGGAGCGTGCGCATGTATAAGGATAGATAGATGCGTGTATGTATGCGTACGTACATACGATTTAACGCGAGAGATCTGATCTCTTTCGTGGCCTTACCAATACACTCGAATACGATGCGAGTAAGAACTAATAACGGGGGTTCTGGTAAGTCCCATTCTGATGCTTTGTGAAGGCGAGCTCTTCGCTCTCGGTAGCAGTCTCTTGCCTCTCCCGTCGACCCGCCACCTGACCGCCAGTCTCGCGTCTTCCCCGCGCTTCTTTTTCTCTTTCTTTTTTCGACAGACGCAAACTGCTCCTTCTTCTATCTCGCCTCCTCCTTTTCTTACTTCTTCCTATATCATGGCTTCGGTACATGCTGCGGGCACCATCGTAGAGGGCTATTGAGGGCTTAAGCGATCGGCGTGTGGCTCGCTACAATCTTTTCATCTCCGCCGCCACGGACAAAGCCGCGCGGACGTTTCGCGACTGCACCTTTACCAGGTCTCGAGCACTTGACCGTTTCAGAAAGTATCGAATACTCCGAATTTCTATTACATCACACAGCTTGATGATCGATGCAACTTTTGCTTCTAATGCGGTGCTTATATTTCGGCAGCAGCGAATTGCCTTTTAGCAATCATTACGTATATACATTATACATAATATATATGTGTTTACTTTATAATCAAAGTTAGTAAAACCGAAATCGCGAAACCTTCAGAAATGCTTCACGTTTAATAATTCAACAAGTTATATGTGCATATTTAATTGCATAGCATGTTAGTTGTATTTTTCGGCACATGTCGTCGCGTATATCAATCGTAAGTGTTGCAGCGTTGATCGAAATGATTAGCCTGGTTGCTCGACCACGAAGCCGAGCAGGTTAATTGCTTCGTTGACCGAAGAGCACTTCTGCGACTACAACAGCTTTCGATGTCATGACTATTCTTCCTATTATTTCCCAGAATAATAGTCGAGAAAAGAAACTATGACCTAATTTACGCAATAACGGAAACAGTGCGTTTTCGCAGAAGAACGTTACTGAAACATCTATCTTTGATTGAATTGTATAAGATTTATACGCAAAATTTTACGTACGTTATACATTTTTCTCTACAATTTTATCGTTAATATATAGGTGCTATTGTTCTTTAACAAAAATGATTATTTAATAAAGTATTTTTTTCAAAGGAAGTCAATAGTTTAATTTCTCCTTATTTTAACTCTTCTCTCTACATCATTTCCATAAACGTTTCTTTTTTTGAGCGCATGCTCTCAGAAAATGGGACAGTCCATTGATGGAATCTCAGTGATAGAGACGATAATAGCGGCGATGAAAGAGCAGAGGAGATAAAAATAAAATACAGCCGCGGAAAGAGAGCAGGAAAAATATTGCAGGAAGAGTCGACGGCAGAAGAAGTCGTCTCGTGTGGTCATATCATAACCGGCGGACCCCAGGAACAGCGTGAGTAGTTTTAAGCGACGACGAAAGGATGGGGAAGTGCTTCGGAGGTTTAAAGAGGTCCGGCGGTGTGAGAGGGGGTTCAGCGGGGGTCCGTATTACAGCTCATTTAGCAGCGGGGTCCTATGCCCCTTTCTTCGGCGCCCCGTTCGGTCCAGAACAGGTTCACAGACCTACGGCAAAGATGAGTCCGTTTCGTTCCCATAAAGTTAGATCTCGTGGCACCTAGAAACCTTTCGCTGCTAAACCTTCGATCGTATCTAGATTTGTACGCGATATTTTGCACGTACAAATCAAAAACTGATCTATGCTTTTCTTTCATTTAAATTCGCTGCGATAAAACTTTTTTTCTATCCAAATAATAAACGTGCATACATGTATTTTGTTAAGCTCTCGGAAAGCATAGAAGTTTTCGACAAAAGCTAATTTGCATAAAATATAATTCGAATACGATTCGAATTTTGCAAGTTTTCATTTGCGAGTCTTAAAAACTTGGGTTTTTAGTATCTCTTGTCTGTCATTCGCAAAGAAAAACTTTTGCGTGACAAATCGCTTTGCATAAAAAAGCAAAAGCGTAGGAAAAACAAAATGGGAAGTTTTGACGCGTATTGGGAACGAGGAGAGAGAACGGGTATTTCCAACTCGTGACCAACACAGACGCAAAATAGCCAGTAATTTATGGGTGAAACTAATTACCGGGGAATGCAGCTCCTTCAACTCTTTTCTGTTCCTAAGACCGCAACTATACATCAGACCAGTTTTCAAAGAGAAGGAGGATCGTTTCTCTCTTATCCCGCCACTTCTTGTTCCGTTTTCCTATCATCCCAATTGTACCTCTTTGAGCATTTATGCGAAGCTTTTAATATTTGCAATACTTGCATAATAATTTCGTTCGCGATCAATGATTCGTTTGTAAGTACTAATTGCATTTATCTTTTCTAACAAAACTACTTTGTTTATTTATATATCAACACATAATGTGCAAAACACAAGAATACTTATAATATTTGTGATAAATTTCTAAAATTTTACAAATATCGTTTAGAGACATAGAAAAATATCAGTTTTACTTGAAAAGAAAGAAAAAAATCACATACGTTTTCTGGTACGTATGTATGTAAAGCTATAGATAGCTCTGAACATAGACGTGTTATGTATAGATTTACTTGATTTGACAGACAATATGAAGATTTGTATCACTTATATGGCTATGATTTGTATTAAAAAGCGTGCAGTAACACAATCTACAAAATGATTGAAAATTGATGTCGATATTTAAGTGGAATAATAGCGAAATGAGCCGGGCGTATTTTCTTACGGGATAATGTGACCAAAGAAAAGTGTCAGAACAATAGTCTCGGTCTCATTATTGAGAGCGTCACTTGTGCACACTAGCCTTCACCCAGCAAATTAGGGCTGCGCTCACAGTGCATCCAGTGCAACAATTTTTTCTCGTTAAAATATCATTATCCGTTTCACCTGAACACCCGATCGCCACATAAGTTGTGAATTCTTGAGAACCTGCTTGAATATGCTACTGCTGCTTGTCGAAATGATAGAGAGAGGCCGACGTTATGAAAGACGAAACAGATTTTTTTATTATGATGAAATTATAGAGGAAGGTAGCGAGAAAAATATGAAACGCGCTAATATCATCACGTGTGATGAACGCGTTACGACAAAGCTAGTAGAATGTGTTCTCCGGTAGGATTTTTTCCTTAACTCTCAATATCCTTGTTCTGCAAGCCATTCGATTCGTCACGTTGGCATGCCAAGCATTTGTGGTAAGTAATAGAAAGGAATTGATACAATAATCGAAATCACGTGTCTGTTAATCAATTCGGCCGATTGCGCGAGAATAGCAAAAAACTTTTTTACCTCCGCTATCAATGACTTG